TAAAGTTGTGTAAATACCTCTTGTTGGAATAACGAAGAGAAATGTGTTACCTTGCTAGAAACCCTTCGCTACACCAACGATTGATGAGTAGCTTGATCTGTTGGTCGTTCACCACCTAAATAAACATCGAACGTTTTGCAGGTGAGGTATGAAGGTAAATATGGCAACACACGATAAATTTGCTTGTTTGTCTTACTTGCACAAACGTTCTATTATACAGAAACTGTTTGCCCGAGATTTAACGTTATATGTTTATTTCATTAATACCACGATTTAAATATTGTTTACTCTTCAATCATACTAATGATACTTTCAATAAATAAAACCGATCAAAAAAATTTTAAAAAATTAAATACAGTCTTCCAAACTCGTGCCATTAATTAAATCAATAAAAAGGATGGAACAAAAACAAATTGAAACAATGATTTCATTATATGATTACAATATTGTGCATCACATGTTACGGCTTTGCTTAACAATTGATACAATATTTGGATAACACATACTGAACAAGTTAAGTTGTAATTTTCAGTGTTCGATAAGTCGAGGTTGATTGCGACCGAGGTGCTACATGTATTGTTTAATATTATATCAGTTGTAGCGTATCGGCCACTTTCGTTGCCAACCTGTGTCAGCCAAACATCGGTAGAATCGATGATAAAAAATCGTGAACTTTGTATTGTTAAGGTCCATTTTTATCATCCTCCTGATAAACTATCTATGTGATAATTACCATGGTTACAGCGGATTTAAGCGCTCTCATTGGCTAAGAGCGCCAATTTATCTTCGGATAAATTTATCAAGAGGTGGTAAAAGTGGACCTAAATGGAACACCCTATTTACAAGATGTTAGTGGTAACACTCGGAAATAAATTTGAGAATTGCAGTTTTTTTGTAAGATGCTCCTACAAAAAAACTACGATTCTCAAATTTAAGAACACAATACGAAATAAGAAATATGGTAACGTATTCCAAATCGACCGAGCGTTTCATAGTTTCTGACATTTCATTCAATATATCAAATAATGCAGACGAATCCATTGAAATGTGAGGCGATTACCTAGCCTCCGAGACTCTAAAAACGGAGTTCCAACAGCGCTTCTGCAACAAAGCTAATGTTAAACGAAATCGCACCAATTTTGTTGAGTTCCAACGACCGCAGAAAAATATGTGCATCGCGATATAAGTCGTCGAACAATGGCTCAAATTTGTAGTAATGCAATTGAAAATAAAAACTTTCGAATGCTTTTGAAAGTACGCTTACTTACTTTTGAATAACATTCACCAGAATTTAAAATTTATCATTGAGGTGGAGACCGATTCAAAACTAAACTTTTTGAATGTGACTTTTAGCAGGAACAAAAACGTGATCTGGTTTGAAATATTTACGACGTGTTTCAAAATGTACCATTTCTATCATTTTTCTTATCCTTCCTCCTCATTTTCTTACTTTAACATTTTATTCTGTAACACAGGCCGTTAGCGAGTTATTCATCACGCGTTGCATTTGACATTTAACCACGCGTAAAATATTAATCGGCACAGAGTTCGATGGAGGGTTTTCAAATTTTCATTAAAACATCAAAAGGAAGCTGAACACCAAAATTCAGTCTGGCATTTTTTTCTATAACAGACTATAACTCAGCTTTGCCCTCGATTAACAGCATTTCTAAATCGATCCATGAGGCGAGCGTTATGTTCCTCTATTTTACACTTTTTCAGTCAATTGATTCTAATGGCTACCATAAAGTACCAACACAACCGCGATCACAAAGCATTTGCGGTAATACTTTAGAATTCTGTGATCTGGGAGGATTATTTAAATATTAAATATTTAAATTAACTTAACTGTTTGAAATTAAAACTTGTTCCTTTCGTTTTTACCACGAGAGACCCATTTTCATAGAATAATAAATAAAAATGTTAAATGAAAGCTTACGTAATCAACAGGGCGCGAAACTCGTAGAAAATAAAGTGTCAAGAGGTCATTAAAATTATTATAATATCCATTAGACGTTCACTTGTAGTTTAAAATAAAATCAACCAGGTCGTTTAATTTCATTAAAACCGCAGATAAAACAAAAAAAATTATCCACACGCGTTGGGCGTGTTAAATGAAAAACAATTCCATCTTTTAATGTGTTGCTTTGCATTCAACGTTGGCGGCGATATTAAATTCTCGAGTAGCAATTTATATTTAAATGAACCCTAATTCGTCAAAATAAAAGTCGAGAACCGCTATTAATATGCATCGAGTTGGACGAGACGTCTTAACCGGGCGATTAGAAATGCGAACAGTTCGGAGTTTTGGTCTTGCCAAGAAACGGAGGAAAGGTACCAACCCAATAATGTAGACGTTCTTCGTTGTGCCTCAAAAAAGTTGCACAAAAGAAAGTTTTTATATTCTATTATTACTGTAATTAGTTGGTGAAAAGAGAATTTAAATTCTGCTATTTTTGGTCAGGTAATGTTTTAAATAGTCGAAATTCCGGGCCAAGTTGAAATAACTAGAAACTAGAAATCCCTCGAATAATCGGATATTGTTTGGACGAAAGCGTTTAGTTAAAAGTTTTAATTAAATAATTAACTAAAATGAAAGAATTAAAAGTAGACATAAACTAAATTAAAAATAAACATAACAGATTTTCAGTTATTTTTCGAGAACTTGAAAATTAGAACTTTAGAGTAGAAAATATTTGCGTTTACAACAAATGGGAATCATCATGTTTTGAATCAAAACGTAAAATGTACACAAGATTACATAAAACAACTACAACCCCTTCTGGCTTTAATGAAAGTATACGAGTGCTCAATCCACCACTTTTGCAATCTTTCCACAACTTTTTTAATCACAAGTGATTTCAGTTTTACTATACGAGATATTATTTCTTAAACAATAAACAACTTCTCGCAACTCATTACATATTCATCACCTTTGACCGAGAATGACTAATGAGATACAATAAAAAAATAATATTTAAAAATAAAATAAAAACTTTATAAAAGACTACATACTGTTTAACAACTATTTCCAACCCAACCCAACCCAACCGAGTATTCGAAGACTTTATTGTGATGGTCTAAAATCCTACATCTACTAACAAGCTCTTGAACTTGTGCTAGATAGTGTTAATAGAACACCAGATACTGTTTATAGGACTAAATATTGTATGCGGATGGCTAGACGTTGCTTGCAAAAACTAAATATTGTTTACAGAACGCTAGATATTGCTTGTAGAGAGCTAGGCATATTATGTAAAACACTAGATGCTTCTTGCAGAAGACTGTATACTACTTGCTAAAGAATGTAGACTGTTTCTAGAAATATGATTCCTGTTTGCAAGAAACTAGGTGTTGCTTACAAAAGCAGATTTGACTGTCTGTATTAGACTACATACTGCTTACAAAGACTATATATTGCTTGCATAAGAAGATATTGCTTGTAAAAGGCCACGTATCGCTTGCAAAAAAGGAATGAATGGCTAGATACTGCAAATTCCCTATAACTAAGACTAGATACTGCTTGTATAAGACTAGATATTGTTTGTAAAAGCCTAGACATTGCTTGCAAAAACATTGTTTACAGAAAGCTAGATACTGCTTGTAGAGGGCTAGGTACCGCTTGCAAAAAAATAGTAAAGTAGTAAAAAAGTAGTTGTATTGCAGAAGACTAGTTACTACAATGGATGGCTAGCTGCTGCTAATTCCCTGTGTTCAAAAGTAAAGATATGAACATCCGTGACATTTACACTATCACTTCCTTTGTGAATTTTGTGTTTAAATTAGACATTCATTCTGTTTGTTAACGAATATTGTCAATAAAAAAAGCGAATAAAAACTCTAAAAACTATATTATATGTTTTCTTAAGTTTTGTGGTTGATTACGTTTTGTGGTTATTTCTGAGCAATATTATTACAGAGACTTAGAATATAGTGGTGAAACAGAATCATCAATCATCCGGAACATTCCATATAAAAGTGTTTGCTATGGCTGATATAGCGAATAATCGACTGAAACACAAACTTTAAGTTTCCATGACACAAGAATTCTGAATAGACCTGAATAATGAATGTATGTAAGGAAAACGTGGTAAAACACAATCAATGGCACAAAATATCGCCTTAGAGCTAAATTATTTTAATTACAACATTTGTATTCATAAATTACTACTTGTAATTAAAGTTTTTAATAAAAAAAATTCATATTCATATTTTAATAGACAATAATTGAATAGATTAGATGTGACAACTTTGAATATTAAAATGATTAATTATATTTTATGAAAAATGGTGGATAGAGTGACGCTTTTGAAATTTCCCATATACGATGATCAATGGTCATTCAACTTCACGCCCTTCATCCATGTTTTCATTGTCATGTCTAATATTATACTTTAGAAGACAGTTCACACCATTACGTTCAAGTTCGATATCTGAAGAGTACGAGTAAAACGAATTGTTTAGCAGTCGGTCGATATTTAATTTAGACGTTTAATACTTTATTTATGCGCTTTACAAACATAAAATGTACCGGCAATAGTAATTATACAGTGTTGGTTATCTCACAAATGCAACCGCGCCCAGCATAATTTAATTTTGCTAAAATCAATATTTTGCTAGAACCACGTATTCCAGTTGAATCTTTTAAAATAAATACGTGAAATATTGATTACGTTTTATTTCGTTTTAGTTAGTAAAGCGAATGGGTCAGATGTCCCGCGGTGAGGACAAAACAAAAAGTATTTTATGTGTATACCTCATAAATAAGGGAGAGAATTTTCAGGCTACGCATGTACTACGTTGGAAATATTCCAGTAGAAGGGACAAAAGTCATAAAAACTTCACTGTAAATCTCAGCTATATTGCTTTTATCAGATAAACGAGGGTATTTTTAATATGCCCGATCTAATTTGCAGGGTAACAATTACAAAAACGATGTTATTTCATAAATTAACAAACATCGACGTTGTAAGATTTATGTGGATTTGTTTTTTTTTTAGATGGAATTTTGCGGGTATCCCCCGTGACTATCGCCACATCTCCACAACATCAATCTACAAACATGTCGATACGATCTCGCAGAATATCGCTTCAACTCCAGCTAGTATTCGGTTTAATGTGTATTTTAACGGAATTAATACAATGCGAGGAATTCCATTCAAATATAACCCATCGCATTAATCTTACTGAATCGGCAATCGAACCAACGCATTCCGAGATCGTTAGTGGAAATATTATCCAAGCAAACACGTCTCGCATCTTGAACACTACGTATAAGATTAACGGGGAGTCTTCCAATAAAAACATTAATACTTTCCCAGAAAATAAGAGTCACGCAGAGCAAATTTTGGTGGGGAGATTTGATGTCGAGTCGGGAGAGAAAAAGAACGCAAATAACGTTTTCACTCCGGTAGGAACACAGAATGGTAAAAATGGGACCAATCGAAACGGACAAGACAGATTAGGACATCGTTCGACTAAAGGAATTAAAATTGGGGTCATTAGAGAGGGAAACCGAAAATTCGTATCGAAACTCGAGGCAAATAATTCTTCAGTAAACAGGTCTGTTTCGTCTGAAAATCCTAAATCAAAGGATACCGTACTATCCCTAAATCCCGAGAGCTCGTTTAATGAAATACTCGCAAATGGATTAAATAAAAGTAAAGGAGATAAAATGCTTAATTTTAAGGAAACCAAAAACATTTCTTTAGTAAACGATACAATTGCCGATTATCTAAACAACACTTCTCAAGACGAACAGATTAGTACTGATAGCTCTAACACAGTATCGACAGACTCCATTAATCGCCCTAAACCACTGGTAATTAAAAGGACCAATTCATCACCGGAACCTACCAATCAATCAGGAAGCGATAGCGAGATGTATCTAAGTGATGAAGAGGCATTGGCAGAGGTGACAACGACAGAAGGGTTTCATTTGTTCACTGGAAATTTAATCAATAAAGAGGAAGAGGAGGTAAGTTCGACCTTCTTTAGACATAACAAATTGGGGTCCGGCTTAAGACATTTTGCTTGTATATTAAGATACATGATTTGTGGCATTGTGAATTGTGAGTTATCACGCTCAAGCTTTAGTTAAGAGTAATTATACTCTATCAATATTGGGGTATTGCATTAATTACGCAAATTAATTATGTCTATGATGTATTATAATTGAAGTCAATCTTATCATTTGCAGATTACTGTGCAAGAAGAGACCGAAACCTTTTCAACTATAAATAATGATGTAATCAATATCTCTACTAGTACAAATTATCCTACGACTGTAATTTTAACAACACAAAATGTCGATAAGAAGACTCTTTTAAATGTAACTAAGTATTTATCAACAACGTTGGATTTCAAACAATTTGAGTCCACGACTCTTTTTGATTACGATTCTTTTAATATATCATTAGACTTCGAAAACAGTAATGAATCTGACGGTAATAATACTTCTCGAATTGTGCAAGAATTTCCATGGCCGGTTAAAAAGGAGGCTGTTGTGGAAGGTGATATTATACTAGGTGGGTTAATGATGGTTCATGAAAGGCAAGAAGAAATTACTTGCGGTCCAGTAATGCCGCAAGGTGGAATACAAGCATTGGAAGCTATGTTATTTACGTTGGATAAAGTGAACGAGTGGAATATGTTTCCTAATATTACAATTGGTGCGCATATTTTAGACGATTGCGATAAGGACACTTATGGATTAGAAATGGCTGTGGATTTCATTAAAGGTAAGAAATAAAACATTAAGAGTTTCTATTCTTTTTTGTTCATACATTTAGATGCGTTCGTATTCGTGTTTGAAATTACAAAAAAAATTGATAATATATTATTCACCTCAATGCATTAGTAACACAAGAAAATTCGTAATTTACGTTAATATAAATATAGCACAACATACATTATGGATTAATTCTGAGATATCCAAAGTGGTAAAATGTTAGGTTATTCAGCGTTATTAATTTCAACTTTTCTAAGCTTTAAATACACATTGGCTTTAAATGGAACATGTGTAACAACATTATTTCAAAATTTAAGTGGAAACTCACTGTTTATAAATTACAGTCATAAAGTTGAGATTAACAATTCAATTTATACATACCAATATGGGGGATTAAATATTAAAGAAAATATAATGAATTATTTTGTAAATTTCGAATCATTCGAACAACTTGAAGATCTTTTACACCGAATAAAACAAAATGATATACATTTCTGCAGATCACTCTACGTTGTTGAAATATATCAAGATGGGATACAAGAAACCGTAATTAATAAATTATGAAAAATAAATATTTATAAAATTATCGTTATTCATAAAGATATCATTTATACGATAGATTACAACAAATTTAATTGCATAACTTTTCAAGTAATATCATTCAATTGCAATGAGTATAAATTCAATTTTATTCCAAAATCTTGTTGTATGAAAGGAACTTGGTATCTTTATCCACCATTTTCTATAAATCCGTACGATTTTAATAAACCTGGTATTGTATTTGAAATAATAAAATTTATTTCTGAAATGTACAACATTAAAATAATATGGTCGAGAGAAAACGGTATTGAATATGCGCGAGAATATAGCATCAACGGAACATCATTTCGATTATTAAAAGATTTTAACACAAATGTAAGTGATATTCTGGGAGGATTTTGTGTGATACCTTATCTAACTAAACAACACTATTTTGAAGATTTTGATGTTTCCGATACTATGGGATTTTTGCAAATGACGCTGATTGTGCCAAAAGCTAAATCAATACCGACATTACCTGCGTTAATTTCTTTATTTACACCTTCAGCGTGGATTCTCATTTTGATAATGAATATAATTTTAGTTACTTTAGTATCGTTAACGTACAACTATAAGTTGGTTCGCGTTTATTTCAACTTCGTTTTTGGATTATTCACTATTATCCAATTAAATTTAAATGTTCCTACCGCAATTAATCAGCAAACAGGTAAAATATTATTTCTAACAGCAAGTTTATACGGGATAATAGTTACATCTCTATTACAAGCACAATTTTATAGCATAACAACAAAACCAATTCATGCGAAAAAATTAAAAACCGTTGATGAAGTAATTAATTCAGATTGTCTCATTATGATTAATCCTGTTGCAACAGAATACATAGCACCAAAAGCAACTCATTTTGAAAGAATACATTACATACAAGCTAATTCAAGAGACACACTTATTCAAAAATTTAGAAAAGACCCAAATTTTGCTTTTGTCGGCGTCGATCCCTTTTACTTTTTAAATGAAAACACGTACGATTCCATTTACCTTTCATTAACTTTAGCCAACATACTTATTAAACATTGTCATCCAATGACTCCTTACATAAACAATGGTTTAAGACGTGTTAGAGAAACTGGGTTTTTATACAAATGGCATAAAGGCTCTTATTATAACAAAACTAATAATAATATAAATCGTAATGATATTCCGTCACCTATTAAATTTGAAAATATTGAATATGCAATTTGGATTTTGATTGTAGGATTGAGTTTAAGTACAATTACTTTTATTATTGAAATAATACTAGGAAACATTTTATAGTTTTTGGTGTGAATATGTTGGAGTTTATTTATTTTAGAGTGAACAATAAATATATGTAAATTATTTGATAAAATTATGCTAAAATAAAATGTCTCGAGCATTTTATGTTTAATGTGTAAACATTTAAAATAATAAATTGAATCATGGAAACTTCAAGGTGGATGGCGTCAAGTTGCGAACTTACAGTGTTACCTTTTGAATCTGAAAATTTAAAGCTCGTCTCATATCTTCTAAACGTAGATCAAATGTGAATATAACAGGAAAGAATGTGGTTGACAAGCATTATTGTTTTCATCCAAAAATCGTTAGATTAGCTCTACTTCATGCATGCGAGTGAAAGTTCCTCATTGTAAAGTAATTTTATTAAGTTTTTCACAATTTTACACATAATTTAGTTCTAAAAAAAGTATTGTTTGAAAAATCATAAATTTAAAATCAATAAAAAAGATATCTTCATGGACACCCTTATACATATAATATGTAATTGAAAATGCATTACACCAAGACAATAACGTAGAAATAGCTAAAACCAATGTATCAATATCCCAATTCCACTTTTAAATAATAAATATAAAAAAATAGATTTTTATACCACATTCCCAAGGCCTTTAACATCAAAGAGAAAACAAAATGTCAATTTTTGATTTTATACTAATTGCACAAAAAAATTGTTATTTTCCATCAAATAAATTTTCAAGTGTTTAAAGTGATATTTTAATATGCTGTGTTAAAAACTTTTTTTAACGTTTTTCTTTGTCCCCTTTGATCTGTTGTTATTAGCAACTTTGTCACCACTATCATCAAATCTTTTAAATTCCGTTGATTTCGTTTGAAATATACCCAAACAACGCATTATATAACATGTGCTGTATGTAATAATACTGCAGTAGATGTCGTATTCTAACATGTTTTACCCCTAATCCATCCTCAGAAAGTCCACTATCCGTAATCTATTCGATATCGAAACGGTCACAAGAGGCTAATGTCGTAAATAAGGCCACGTAATTGAATTCTAACTCAATCTTCATTACTGTTGGCGACTTAATTGCTTGCTCTGCTGCAAGCGTGTAAGTGGACCAGTATAGTACCCATCAGATCGTTTTAGAAAAGAAATTGCTTTCAAAACTCCATCAATATCCTATTACTTCTTGTTGATGGTATTACGTTTCTATCATTACCCATTGATTTTAAATTTATTGCAAGATATCGACTCACAAGAAATAATAAATAACCTAAGTATTTGTTTTTAACATTTAAGAAATAAGTGGTATTTAGCATCTGTTCCATCTAATTGAATACTTATTTATAAGTTGAAAACGTAAGATGGGATAAATAGCAAAAGAATTGAATTCCAGTGATTAAATTCTTCTTAATGGTAGGGTAGGGCTATTAGGGTTTTCAATTGGCAAATCGATATGGTAAGGGTAAAACGGAATTGGAACCTTTAATTATAACCCCGAGTCTTTTGTCTCTTTTAATTAAGACCTCGTTCTGATGTCGTAATTAGGGAAAAATAGGTTTAAGGAATTCGTGGACGATTAATGTAAAATTTAGAAGGGTAAAAAGATATGAAAAACAAAAAGCAATTTTTTAAAATGTATCCTACATGCGTTAACCGTCATAAAATTAAACTGTATAATCCTCTCAAGACAATCTATTACAATTAGCGAGAATTAAGTTGAGAAAACACAACAAAACGTCCCGTTTTAATGAACTTGCACAAAAAATTTTAAATTAAACCCTACCCAACACAATTAAATTTAACTTTAATTGCAAAACTTACTTCAGGTCGTCTTCGTAGGTGAAAATTTAATTGCATTGTAAGACCAAATTTTAGTAAAATAGTCACACTTTGTCTTAGCGATTGCGTGTTAATTAACACGTTCTCTCAACCTTTGAGAAATACTGAATGTGCACATCATCGGGTTGAAGGTCTAAATCGTATCTTGTAACTATTTGTAAGTCGGTTTCGTCGAGGTTTCAACTTGCAAATTGTCGAGGAAACGGGACATGTTCCTTTGCAAATCTTATATGCCCAACATGCAATTGGAACTGATGACGAGTTTCTGACTTGTTCCTTGAGATCATTAATCACTCAAAAGAGAGACTGGTATTGATCGCCTTACAGAAAGTTACGGGTTTAATACAGTAAAACCTCTATACATATAACGGATCTTCTTAAAACGGATTTCGGATATAACGGATAAAATATTTTTAAGTCATACTATTAATATTATCATGTTCAGAACAAAACTCGGGGTATTCCCCGAGTTGTTTATACGATGTATAAATTAAGGACAGTAGTTCTAGTTTGAATTGTTATTCAGCGCTAGATTGTTGTGTATTTTTATTGGACTAAAAGTAGAACTAATACTAGACCAAGGACTAGAAACATTCGGGTTTAGCCGTACGTCTCTTAAGACGGCTAAACCGAATGTAGCTAGTTCTAGGCCTAGTGTTAGTTCTAATGCTAGTGTTAGTTGTAGATTTAGTTGTTATTTAGCGTTAGCTTGTTGTACATTTTTCATTGGACTAAAACTAGAACTAACACTAAACCTAGAATTAGAAAGTTTCGGGTTAAGCCGTCTTAAGAGACGTATGGCTAAACCCGAATGTTAGTTTTAGTTGTTATTCAGCGTTAGATTGTTGTATATATTTATTAAACTAAAAGTAGAACTAACGCTAGACCTAAAACTAGAAATATTCCATCTTTCCTTCTTCAACTCCATTAAATACGTGAGACAAAAATTCGTTTTAAAATTTAAATTAAGTTTTCATTTTCTGATTGTATCTATCTTTCACAAAAGCTAATTTATGTTTTATTTTTGTTTTAGGTAAGATTTTTATCGTCAAAATGAAACCGCTTTAGAAAAATAAACTTGTGTTTGGGTAAGTTTGTTCCTTAATAGATTGAACGCGTGTCGTTCACGAGGCATCTGCCCATATTAACCGAATCTTGGCACTCACGTTTGTTCGTTTTTACTGTTATCGCTTTTGTGGCATGTGCGTTAGATGATCACTGCACCAAAAACGATAATGAACGGTAAATTTTAGGTTGTGTGCGCCAAAAGTCATACAACCAACATTTTAAACGTTCCAAATCTTGAGAGTTCATATCAATAAAAGCTCTTATTCGATAAACAATGCTTTTTGTGTGAG